GGGCCACGCAAATGAGCAGAAAGGCGGGGCCGGCGCCGGCCTGGGCGGGTGAGCACCGGGGGGAAAGCCGCTCGCCCCTTGCTGGGTTCTCACCAAGCCTGTGGGGAGCTCTGGAAAGAAAACGAGCCGTGGGAACTCCCGGAAAAAAAGAATAAAGCGCATCGGCCTGAAAATAGAAACCCAGAGCCTAGTGGGCCGCCTAGTGGCCAGCACCCCTTAGGGCTCCGCTTTTGTCCTGGGGCCTCCAGGCGGTCAGAAGTGCCAGGGCTCTTGCTCAAATTTTGCACGAATGAGGCATTATTAGGGACAACACCGGAGGTTTCCGTGGTTGAACGTCTGCTGCGGAGTCCCATCGAAGCCTGTGAGATTTCAAAATCACCAAGATGATGATTTCACTGTTTGTTTACTAACCATCCTGCACTCTCCTAAGTAAAAGAAGGATGTGTCTTATCATTTTACTTTTTATCCAATCCCAAAGGTGTTTTGTGTACTCACAGCTATAAATCTACTTTTGCCCACCCTTGTATTTACTGTTTTCTACAATCATCTGTACACAGTGTTCTGTGTCAATTATATCTCAATAAAGCTGAAAAAAAAAACACCTTTCCCATTTACTTCGAGGCTTGGAAATAAGTTTTTTTTCTTGTTAGAAAATTTAAAGGATAGGGAAAAGGTATGGCTTGAGTTTGGTAACCTAGTTACAGGTGCTAAAGGACTGGGGTTTTACTGGAACTTTCAACCAGTGAAATTTCTACACCTGGTGTCCATCAAGCCATTCTTAATATAACGGGAGACATTCACCTTGATTTCTTTAACTTACTTTGATTTGACCCATTTGAGGCTCCAATTGATATGTTCTGAGCCATGTTGCCTAGTTTTCTGGACAAGATACATGAGGCAAGGGTAGAGTTTTCTTGCTTTTTCTCCAGTGCTCAGGCTGTTCTAGCCTGTAGTAGGTGTATAATGAATACCTATTAAATACTGGGTAAAATAAGTGGGTGTCAATGTCAACTGCATTTAACATGTCTCTGCCCATTCTCCACCAGCAAGGATGTGCCAAATCCTGGAAAATTTCTGAAAGATGATGATTACAATAATTTTAGACACTAGCAGGAACAAAGCAGGAGTTATCTCTAAAAGGAATGAGCTGCAAGTGTCTGCACAGAAAACTTTCCTAAATCGGGTATTGTAAGCTGACCTATGGAGTGGAGCTAATGTCTGCCCCTTAACCTGAGGTCCTCACAGGAGAAGAACCCACGAGCCACACGGACCAGTGCTATACGACATTTTTGAAAGAAACTGGAGAAGATGCAAAGAAATGCAAAGATATTTCATCTTCACAGATTGGGAGAATCAACATTGTTAAACTATCTGTATTACCTAAAGCAATCTGAAGAAGGAATGCAATCCCTATCAAAATCCCAATGGCATAAAGAATCATATAAGGTATTTTTTTTTAAAGATAAAATTTATTTGAAATGACATTTTACAAGCAACCAGATCTGACAAAAGCACCAAGAATATATCTAAAGATTAAATTGTACACAAAAACTTTGGAATTAAAATTTCACTCCCATAATTTAAAGAAAAAACTTGTTTGAGTTGGAATTACTGAGTGATTATGGAAACACAAAGTATATAGTGTGAGAAAACCTCAAACCAAGTGGAAATGAAAATGAAATGTTTAACTCTATCTGAGAAGAAAAACCACTATTAAAATAAAATCAGACTTCTCTATAAAGATATGCCCATGAAAACCACAGGAAATCCTTCATACTATGACTAAATAATTAAAACCACACTATAACCAAAAGTATGTGGTAACAGTAAGTATGCTGATTATAAAAAAGGAAGAGTCTGCATATAAAAACAGTTCACTTTAGTGCTTTCCTAGAAAAGATGACTCCTCAGAACTACTCGTATGTAACTGCTTATAGCCAAAGCCTGGCTCCAGGCACATCACAGGTGAGGCTTCAGAAAGTCCTTGAAGAGCAGGTGGCAGTGAAACTGGGCTCCCATCTTTCTCATCAAGCAAATGTTCTTTGTGCTGCTCGAGAATAAGTGCAAATAGGAAGTTACAGCTTAAGACATCATTTCAGCGATGTGGAGCCCATACAGATAGGCTTGCTGATATTCAAATGGTTTCTTTCCAACCCATATTCAGCTGCATTCCAAGCAAAGAGGCACTCTGAAATAAGAGTTCCTGGTTAGGAGGCAGCATTGGTACAAATCAAAGTTTAAATAATGGGAATGTTAACATTCTCTGTACAGACCAATTGTAAGTACTATAACCAATAAAGCATCGAGCCTATTTAAAAATATTATTCCATTAAGAGGTCCTTCTCAGATAATAGGATATGGAGCAATTAACACATTTTATATTGATAAATATGAATAAAAGTGCAGGAGAAACTGAAGCAACGGTCTCATGCTCCTTGATTCACACATTCATTGAACAGATACTGATGTAATAGCTTTACTTTGGATCCCCACAGGTTTGGATTTAGAGGTCACTCTGGCATGGCCTCCCCTCTTCTCCTCTTTGCTTTTCCTATGACGCACCAGCAGCAAGCCAACATTTCTTTCCCCATTGCCACAGCAGTTCTTCTGTATCTTGTTCATGGTATATGTTCTTACTCCCTGATATGTATGTTACATGTATGTCAGTATATTTTATAAACTAAAATAAGCTCCAAGAAGACAGAGGTGGTATCTTTACCTTACAGATTATATACGACAAAGCATATAAGACATATTTGAGCTTGAATTCTACCTTTGCCTCTTACTGACCCCAAAACCTTGGCCAAGAGAAATTTTTAACCTTGGCTTTCTCATCTTGGGTTTTATGTGCTCACCCTGGTATTATCTTGGGACACTCCTCACCATTGAGTGTTGTAGTCAGGGCTAAATAAGATAAGGCATGTGCGACTCTCAGGATAATGCCTGGGTATAATAAACCTTCAAGTGTTCACTCCCATGTTCTCCTGACAACCACAGGGACCCTTGATGTCGCCTGCCAATGCATGGCGGCTATTTAATGCCTCCTTTTTCCTTAAATCCCTATCATATTTCTCAACCTTCTTATCAGCTGATCATTTTACTTTCTATTCACTGTGGGAACAGAATCATCAGAAGAGAACTTCCACAGATGCCTTCACCACCACATCTCCCCAGCTGCCTTCATCTGCACCCACATGTTCTGCTTTCCCTCTGGTTCCCAAGGCCACACTCCTACCTCAGGTCTACACTCCCTGCTTTAGCACTAGACTCCGTTCCTTCTAGCATACCCAGACACAGCTCCAGCCATTCTGCCATTCCTTCCCTCCCAGTATTTTCCCACTTTCTCCCAGATCATTCTTATCAGCACACAGGAATCGCAGCATAGCTGTCATTTCTCCACTCTTAAAAACATTTACTTTGATTTCCTCCTTACTCTTAAATATTTGTTGCTTGACTATATTAAAAAAACAGGGAATTAATTAGTTGACAATATGACATAGGTAAATTCACGATTTATATGCATGATTTTATTTTATTTTTTAAATATGTTTTTATTGATTTCAGAGAGGAATGGAGAAGGGGAGAGAGAGAGAAACATCAATGATGAGAGAGAATCATTGATCGGCTGCCTCCTGCACGCCCCCTACTGGGGATCGACCCGCAACCCAGGCATGTGCCCTTGACTGGCATTGAATCCAGGACCCTTCAGTCTGCAGGCCAACACTCCACTGAGCCAAACCATGTAGGGCTATATGCATGATTTTAAAATCTGTGCAGTGGAACCATATATATTTAGCATTATGCTTTTTGATAAGTATGAATAGAAGGACATTTTTACATCGAAATTAATAAAATATTTCAATTTCATTAGATATCCATTTACCTTCTGGTTATCTTGCTGGGTTGTGTAGATCAACAAAATATACTTCTCGTGTCTCTAAATGAAGATCTTCTTCTGTGAGGCTTTTATGTC